GGCGCTCTATTGAATGCATGTACCTCACCCAGTGTCTAACCATCCCGTGCTTCCGTTGCGCTTGTCCCGTTTGCAGAGTGCGCGAAGGACTGCGAGTTCTTCTAGAAGTTTGTGCGCATCAATGGGGCGCGGCACAAAATCGACCTGGCCCGCATCATCAACGCGGACCAAACTCCAACTATTCGTGGAGATGCCAGCCGAACGGACGATCAAGCACCGTGGCGCGCGCTCGGTCCTAATCCGCACTGCAGGCTACCAGAAGACGCGTTTGACGGTGATGCTCGCGTGCACTGCATCCGGGGAGAAGCTGCGGCCGTGGGTGTGGTTCAAGATGAAGAACGTCCCCAACTGTGAGATTCCGGAAGGTAAGCGAGCGTGAATTCAACCGTGCGACTGCCTGATGAGCGTGCCCCACTGTGCTGATGCCCGTCTGTCCCTTGTGTGCCTGGCAGGAAACGTGGTCCAAGCACAGGACAACGGGTGGATGGACGACACCGCTGTGCAGACCTGGCTGTCCAAGGAGGTGCTGCCCCATCTGAACCCCCAGCGCGGCCAGAACGCAAGGCGGGCGATGCTGGTGTTGGACTCCTACCGCGGTCACATCACCCAGACCATGCTTCAGTCGTACCGCACGCACAGCATCACCCCTGCAGTCATCCCAGCGGGTTGTACGAGCCAGATTCAACCCCTGGACGTCTCCATCAACCGGTGCTTCAAGGCTGCTGTGCGAGCGCGCTACGCCAGGTGGTTCATGCGTGAAGGGATTCACCTGAAGACGAAGAAGGGTGAGTTGGTCCTTCATTTACGGTTTTATTCATGTTCCGTTTCATGTCCTTGTCTTAAACATGCTCCTTCATATCCGTGTCTCTTACATCTCGCTGCCCCGTCCTCTGTCCCACCCGCAGGGAACCTGCGGAGGCCTCCGCACCCCGTGGTGCTGCAGTGGATCGCGGAGGCTTGGGATCAAGTCCCCAAGCAGATCATCGACGCGTTCCGCCACTGTGGGATCTCGAGCAAGCTGGACGGAACAGAGAACCACCTGGTGATGTCTCACCTGCGCACCAGGAGCACCACCGATGTCTCCGCGGACATGTCTCTCGGGGGGACCACAGGCGACAACACGCGCCTGCTCGGTCGGGCTCCAGAGGAGGAGGAGGCGATGCAGGCGGAGGGCGTGCGGGAGGTGGCCGTGGCAACCGGCCTGGAGGTGCTGTACCAGGAGACCCCCAACTACCGCGGAGCGGCGGCCGAGGCTGACCGCATGATCGAGCCTAGGGAGACGGCTAGGCATGCGTGGCGACTGCCAGACCTGGGTGTAGAGCCTGATGTTAGTGCAGGTGAGGAGGCGGTGACTGAGGGGGGTTAGGTAGAAGTAGAGATTCATGACTGTATGCATGTACCCCCCTAAAGTAGGAAAGCTAGCTAAGAAGACACCCCCTGTTTATAAGAAAACCCCTAAACCCTGGTTCTGATTATAAGACGTATATGTCTTAATTCGTACACACAAATAGGTGTCGTATAAAAAGGCTAGCTTGTTTATAAGAGACACCCGTATAGTAGACAACCCCTGTCTACTATTCAACACTGTCTTATATCCGGACGATGACGGTTATTATTTCTCCAAAGGTATTACGTAGATGCAAGTTGGATAAATGAAGAGGGATGCAAAACTTCAAGGGTGATGCCGAATGTACACAAAAAGCGCCTATATACTCATACAACAAACTCCCAATGGAAGGGGATGCCATGCCACCTTTCCCCGTACACACAAAACCCTTTGAACACAGATCTAGTTTAGCGCCTTACACATACTCTATGTACATATAAGTTCGAATTAAGTTTTACTGCACTGTCACTTCCGCGACTGGAAGCTGATAGCGAGCGTCATTCATTACAATGACATCCCCGCTCTCCCTCACCACCGCCTTCTTTTCCACAAGCAGCAGAAACGTGATTAGTTTCGTGCCGCCATACCCACTGCGACTAACACCATCCCTTGACTGAGAGTAACTTGCTGCAGTTGCCATATCCTTTGTGAACCAGTCTCCCAGTGGACTGCTAGAGCGGCGATTGGGGCACATTCCGTTCCGTAGGATAGGGTCGAAGCTGCTAGACCGAGTGCCATGAAACGCGAGCTCCAAATTTCCTTTCTCCGCGCTGTCCATGTATGTCAGACCTTTGACTTCGGGGTTTGGAGAGTGCAGAAGAAAGGCAAGCATGTTTGGGAAAGTTTTGTCTCGCGAAGAGACACACCACGCGAAGATGCGTTTGTTTCTAAACAGCACGACTCAGCACCTTGCCTCTCACCGATGATACTAGGAGTTTTAGAGAGGCAATTTCTGTATGAAAGAAAGGGAGTTACCTAGTGCAGCATCAGCCGGTAGGTTCTGCGCAGTCGCGAGGAACCGCGTGAGCATTGCGGAGCCAGGTGTAAGGTAGGGGTTCTTACGAACTTCCACCACCGAGCTGCACCGCTGACCCACCACGTGCCGAACGTACGCCTCCGTGGTGAACGCATCAATAATGCGACTCCAGACCTGCCATGACGCACCAGATTGAATCAGTGACGCTGTGTATCGAAAAGCCAGGACTGAAATGGAGTGCTAGTAGTGATAGACGAAACATTTGCCTTGGCTACACCACTCGGACCGAATGGACTGCGAAGGAGCAGGAGATGCCAGGAGACAACAGACAGCTTACCACGGACGGGGTCCTCAATGCGTCGCTTAGGTTCTTGAGCGACAGCTTTGGAATAACCAGAACTGGCCTTCCCTGATCGGCTGTGGGGTTCCGTTGCTCCATAGTCTGCAGATTCAGCGTGTAAGATTGACCGTTAGGGTAGACTTTCGACGTGAAAACACCCAGGTTCACTTCTTGGAGGCCCAGAGAGGCCGCCTTGAGGATTGCGCGGGACGTGGCGCGATCGTAGGGCCGCCATTGGTCGTCGTCGCGCCAGTAGATGCCGGGAACGTCGGGCTCCGAGCAGGGGAGGAAGTTGATGCACATGGTGTCGGTTCCAATTCACCGTTGAGATAAGAATGATGTGATTTTCACTATTCTTCCGCTACTCACGGTGCTCGCGCTGCTACTTTCGGCAAATTCGTCCGAAGGGAAGGAGAGAGCCTGAGGGTGAAGGCGCATTGTGTCAACGATAGGCGGCATCGCGGAATTTATGGTCGCGATGTGGAGTCGCTGCGCCTGGGCGACACATTCTAACTGGCAGTTACCCCAGACTCCAACCCTGTTCAGTTTACCTGTATAATCTCAAGTATCGTTAGTAATTTTCTAACTATCACGCATACCCATTTTTTTTCTCCCCAATCACGTCGCGAGCGACTTTAGAGTGTTATCTAATAATCTAGCTGTCATTTTGTCAACGCTGACAACCCAGAAAGAGTAGGGTAGTATTGAGTTTGACCCCATCCCCTTCCTCCACCCCCTCTGCCTCGATACTCCAAATTCGCTTACCTCGGGAACTCCATTTTTGCATCCAGCCCCCCTCGGGAATTCCCTTTTGCCTTGAAGACACCTGTTCAGCTTACCTCGGGAGCTTTTGATTCACGCCGTGAAGCTCATCGCTTCTACATCGGAACTCCCAACTCTTTCTAGCCTATCTCGTTGGCGTGGGAGGCGACCCAGAGGCTATGCTGCTGCTCCAATCGCAGACGTTACCAGTACGGCCAAGGCTTCCTGATAGCTGGATCGCGACTTGGACCGCCAGCCATTCGTTCGAGGTGCAAGGCAGGTATTGAAACGGGTGGTGTGAGAACACGACAGCGTATGGCGTGGGAACTGGCGTAGCAGGGCGAGTACAGTCCAGAGCCTGCATCTGTTCTGGTCCCGAGAACTTTCTTCACATCTTTATTGACAGTCTCGCTCTAAGCGCGAAGACCAGCAGCGCAGGAGTATGAACAAATAATATGCGGCTTTACTTCGTTTTAGGTTGCTGGAGGAGTGGCACCATGCATCCCACCTCACATTCTGCAGAGTTCTGTGTTTTTGGAAACCAGCCGGACATCAGACAGTCAGACCAATCCAATCAAGTAGGCTACTGAACGCTCTCATTCAGCAACTCCAGACATCAAATACAAACCCAAACCGCAAAACAAACCAGGCCTATACCACCGAGGCGAGCCTAATCCTTGGTGCAGAATATTTACAAGAAAGCACACCAATGTGCTGCGGAAACAGGGTAGTACCATTCAGGGGTGGCAGCACCCAAATCTACCAGCAGCAGGAGCAGCAGGGGAGAAACACACAGCCTGGAATACCAGGGAGACTGCTGAGATAGACCTTCAATCACTATTGAAGCAGCAAAAAGTGGTTGGGCCTCTGCAGGAGGCCCCAGGGAGCATTGTCTTGTCAACCACACTCAGCTTAATCAGCAGCAGATGGAGCAGCCACCACTTTTTGGACCAGAGGGGTTGAGAGCAGTATCAGGCTGTTTCTGTGTCGATCTCCTGAGGATTCAACACTTGATTCGGGCCGGCTGGAGGCCCCAGGGAGCATCGGTCCGTGCTGTGTGTCTCCAGTGCCTCCTTTATTTTAGCAATCTGATGTGAATGGTGGAGAGTGGATAGGGTGGGGAGAGACAAGAGAAACAACACTTGGTGCGGGTTGGCTGGAGGTCGCAGGGAGCATCTTTCCGTGCCGTGTGTCTACAGCGCCTCTTTTATTTTCGCAATCTGATGTGAACAGAGGATAGTGGACAGAGCCGGGTAGGAGGAAAGGGTGGGGTGGGAGAGGGGACGGGAGGGGAAGGAAGTCGATGGGCAACAACACAGTGTGGTTGACTCCCCTGTTTCCTTGATTTTAGCAATCTGAAGTAAATGATGTATAGTGGACGATAGTGTATGCGACTGGCAGAGCTGGTTGTTCGAGTCGAGTGAGGCGACTTTTGACATGACTCAAAAGTCACCTCGATAGTGTATGCGACTGGCAGAGCTGGTTGTTCGAGTCGAGTGAGGTGACTTATGCGTTCACCTCGGTTTGTAATGGGCTTAGAGGATGCTCCCAGCACGAGGTACCGAAGTGAGGGTGACAGGGCACGACGTACCGGCGTCCAGCAGGCCGTCAGCGCTCTGGAAGTGGAAAAAAGGTAACCGCTTGATGCCGACCCAAGCTAGCTTCAGAGCTGCTCGTTCAAGTCGTAGTGAGGTGACTTGTGTGTTCACCTCGCTCTTGTGTTCACCTCGCTCTTGAGTGGAATCTAAGGGAGCACTCGACATGACATACCGAAGTAAGGGTGGCGGGGAAAGCGTCTAGCAGCCCGTCAGCGCCCCGATAGAAGTGGAAGAAAGGCAGCCGCTTGATTCCGAGCGACCGGCACAGCTGCTTGTTGGGGTCGAACTCGACCTGCAGGAAGATGACGTCCGGATGCCTCGACGCTAGCATGCAGAGCTGAGAGGTGAGAAGTGGGGGGAGGGGGTAAAACGGAGGGAGAGAGGAGGGAAGAGTAAGAAACCGGCAGAGGTGCTTGTTGGGGTCGAACTCGACCTGCAGAGAGATGACGTCCGGATGCTTCGACGCCAGCATACAGAGCTGAAAGGGGGAGGGGAGAAAGGAGACGTGTAGGGAGAAGTGGGCAGGTGGGTTGCGGAGAAGAGGGGGACGGGAAAGAGTTGCTTGTTGCGGCCAAACTCGACTTGGAGGAAGATGACGTCAGGGTTCTTAAAAGCCAACATGCACAGCTGTGAAGGGAAGGAGGGGGAGGAGGGTGAGGAGGGTGAGGAGGGGGAGGAGGGGGAGGAGGGTGAGGAGGGGGAGGAGGGGAGCAGTGTGAGGAGGAGAAGGTGGGACAGGATGAGGGGAAGGAGCGGGGGAGCTGTTTCACAACGTAGGGACGCAGAAGGTGCACGTAGAAGGTATTTTTGAGGCGCCTCAAAAATCGCAAGAAGCGGGAGAGCTGTTCCACAACGTAGGGACGCAGAAGGTGCACGTAGAAGGTATAGGGCACGTAGGAAAAATCTCACCTTAGGGTGCATGGCGCGGCACGAGCGGCACCAGGTCCCGAAAAAGTCAACCACCACGAGCTTATCCCCCGCTGCGCCTAGCGCCTCCACGAATTCCGCTGTGTTCGCCACGTGTCGCATGTTCGCGGGCACGCGCCGCTCCCACCAGTTTTCGCTGGAAGGAAGGGGAATCTGGTTTCCCGCGCCCACTCCTGCGCCGATTCCTACGCCAAGCCCCGGCATGGGTTGCGCAAGGGCGCTGCGGACGGTTATCGCCCCCCCGCGATTGCCTTGTAGCGAATCCGCGCTCCGCAGACTGCGCGGCGACGCGCGACGGGGGAGCGGTTGGGCGACGAGGCTAGACGAAAGCCCTCGCAGGCGTGACGAGGCGGAAGAAGCGGCGGAACGGGAAGGAGCAGCGGAGAAGGCGGAAGCTGAGGGCGCGGAAGACGCCTGCAGCGCGAGAGGCGGATGGATAGTCGCCATATTGAGCTGCTTTGAGTTGTTGGATTACGTTGGAGACGTGTCCGAGACTGGCAGTGGAAACTCGGGCAGACAAAAGGCCCGAGGATGAAGACGACGCTGACTGGCGGAGAGCTCACGCAGAAGGTGATCGTGACGGTACTTTACAGCGAAGTCCCAGCGAGGGTATTACGGATTCAACGCGCGTCGACGAATTTACATGTATTTGCTGGGGCTAGTGTCGCGTTGGATTGGATGCATGTGCCTCTGGGTCACCACTCCGCAACTAAGACTGCGGCCCTCAAGTGCTGTCGACAGCATGGGACAGAGAGACCCTACCAGAGGAGAGTGCATTTGAACAAGCGCGTTTTTTCTGAGATGGATTCTCGAGGGTGGCCCTGCCCACGAGAGTGTCACTCCTCTTGGGGAAGTGGCTGCGCCACTGGGATCTGCGCGCGGTCTACCCTATTCCCTCCAACACCCACCCACCGATTCAAACACATTGAAATCATCGATGACCACGACTCTGCAGGCACTCTGAGTGATTCATAGGCGGACAAAGGGATGTCGCGGAATCTTGTGGTGGAAAAGGGGGAAATGAGGAGGGGAAGGGAGAGTGTTGATTTCTTTGGAGATAGCGCGCCGATTCCAGGAGGGGAAACCAGATCTCCAATTCTGCGGTTGAGCGTGTGCGCAATCACTGGCTCAGGGTGGCCTTCAAGCGTGCCGCGGAGAGGAGGGCGCAAACAGCCTCTTGCCGAATGGCGTCGCGCGGTGGAGGCCAGTGATTGGCTCAGTCAATTTCAATCTTGCGAGCCACAGCAGCCCTAGATTGGTGCCTGTAATTCGCTGATGTGGCTGGGTGGCCGATTTTCAATGCAAGTGCATTCATACGGCATGTCTTGCCAGCTCCCCGTGCTGTGGCGAAACGTGCGGGGAGTGACGAGGCTGTAAAGGCCGCCTGCCCTGCTGGTGCCATGTCATATATACATCTTGATTCGTAAACTGCTATGACGCTATGAAGAACACCAAAACAGTTCCAGCTGTGTATAAAACATCCAATCACTTTTCATGACATCATCTGGTCCTGACATACATGCCACGAATATGAACATTGTCCCAGTGCAATCAATTATGTATGAGAATTTGATTTTATATCAGAATTACCGTGTTCCAACCAAACCCTTGGAAAGTTCACTTGTGGGTTTGCGCTTTGTATATGTATAAGCTTTATTATTGCTGCTTTACCACCACAAACACACACTCACTATCGAGGTATGTCGGCCCTTGCCTGTAATCCGCGCGTGCCGCGAGAGCACCCTACTGGCCTTCACACGTCCCTGGGTGTTCGCGCCACAAATTCTCCCAGCATCACGCGCGAAGTTCTCATAGAACCTCCTATTCGCACCCCCGCTTCGCGAGCCACGGTGTTATTTCGAAAGATGCTGGTTACTACCAATAAAAGTTGTGCCGAGGCATTTCCTAAGGCTGTGATCCTAAGCTAAGATGACCAAACTAGACGTGACCTAGCTGTGAGCGTGGCGTCAGTGCTTACCGAGCCAAGGGTTCAGGTACGAGCAGCCCATTTTGCTGGTCTTGGTAGTTGCGAGCGAGCCAGCCCTGGTTTGGCTCGGTCAGAGCCTCCGAGGCCTAGAAGTTGTCTTGCAGTACAGAGATCCCGAGGCAACTTGGCCCAACACCCGGCACTTTTTTCTCCTAAACTTGTGGCTTTTCACTAGATACCTGTCACAGACGCCTAAAACACCTTTACAGTGGTTAGTCCTATTGTACATCCCTCCTGGTGACTTCAGCAGCACGTTTGTTTTCAGCCATCATGGAAGACCGTAGTTAGTCAGTGAAGTCAAATTAGGTTATTCATGCTTGAGCGGGCTAGGAGTTACGGCTGATCAGAAAAGTTTACGACTTCCTATTGAGTTTCAACCCCACGGCACGTACCGCCATTTGACGTGCTCGTTACTGAGTAGGCTCTCCTATCGACGTTAAGGAACCAGATTAAACGTACGGTCAATTCAATATCCAATTTTACTTCGTTACTCCACTGCAACGCGATTAGATGTAGTTGTTTTGTCGGAAACAACAGCTAAGGATTATAGTCCCGTTTTCTCTACACAGCAGCAGAGAGGCTCAGGATTTTCGCCGACCAATAGGAACACGGTGCTGGCCATATTGTTTTACTGGACGTACGCCTGGCCGAGCAGCAGGCGTGACGTTTGTTATTTTATGCTGAACGACACAGCTGAAAGTTGATCTCTGAGCATATCCCGCGAGCCAAGCCGATCATTTGTCACGAAGTCTATTCTGATAACCAGCACCCGAAGATGCTGCTATCAGAGATGTCGCTTGTCTCAGCATCTAACGAGCTTGCCGGTTTGTCAACCAGAAGCGTTAAGAACCGTCCGATAGTCCCATTATGCAAGATTGTTTCATCATGAAAGCCGTCGTGGTGGCCGACACCCATAGACCACGTATCTAGAAGCTTATACCCTTTCCTCTCAAAAGCATAAATAGCGTAGCGACCAATTCATCATAATGAAGGCCATTGTGGTGGCCGGCACGCACAGCGGCGTGGGCAAGACGAGCGTCGCCGTGGGGCTCATGGCCGCCTTCCGCCGACGAGGTCTCCGCGTGCAGCCGTTCAAAGTCGGACCTGGTGCGAAACGATACAATACGATACCATACGTTACGATTCGATGCACTGCCGATCCACCAGGCTTTTTTCTTCTTCCCGTTTCCGACTCTGACTGAGGTTCCTGGATGGCTGATGCCGGCTTGGGACGTCTTCGGTCTGATATTTGAGCATGGCTGTGGCGCAGAGTTGTCAGCAATGGTATCTAGTCCCGATCCTTGTATCATATCCGAATGTCGCTGTCTGATATGACATGTCGTATGTGGTGTGTTCTACGTGGCATGTTGTCTGTGACATGTTGTATGTGGGATGTGGTACCATGCTTTATCTGGCATGGTGTGTATGACATTTCATTTGTGGATGTCCTGTGTGGTATGTTGTATGGGGAATGTCATACGTGGCATTTTGTATGTGGCATGCTCCATGTGACATGCTGCACGGGGCAACTTGGATGTGCCATGTCATGTGGGATGCGTGTGGCAGATTTTCTGGACCCCATGCACCATCAGGCGGCTACAGGCCGAGACTCGTACAACCTGGATGGGTGGATGCTCAACAGGTATGGTGCTGTTGAGGAGATGGGTGGGTGGGTGGATGGGTGGATCATGGGTGGGTGAGTGAGTAAGGTCGATGAACAGACGGGACTCATGCAACCTGGATGGGTGGGTGCTCAACAGGTATGGTCTTATTGAGGAGATGGGTGGATGGGTGGATGCTCAACAGGTAAAATGATATTGAGGAGATGGATGGATGGGTGGGTGAGTGGGTGGGTGAGTGTGTGGGTGAGTGTGTGGGTGAGTGAATGGGTGGGGTTGGATACATGGATGGATGGTTAGATGGTGGGGACATAGGTGGAGAGACGAGACTCGTGCAACCTGGATGGGTGGATGCTCAACATGTATGGCTTATCGAGGGAATGAGTGGATGGGTGTGATTGAGTGCATGGTTGAAGGGTGGGTGGTTGGGTGGGTGGCTGGGTGATGGTTGGGTGGACTGACGTACAAAGTGGATGGGTGTATTGTTGGGGGGACAGATGGGTGGGGGACGGATGGATGGCTGGTGGTTGGATGGGTGCATGGGTGAAAGGGTGGGTGGATCGATGGGTGGATGGGTGAATGAATGGATGGGTGCAGCAACGTTCCCTTGGTTCTTCTCAGTTTCCCCCCTTTCCCCCGCCGCCCCCCCAACCCCGATATCCACTTCTCTCCTCACCAGGGAGGCCAACGTGGCGTGTTTCACCAGCCTCAACAGACGTGGCAGTAGTGGAGGGCGTGATGGGGCTAATTGACAGCAGCAGCATCAGAATCGGGCCCTCCCCTTGTTCTCCCTGTCCCTTCCCTCACGTTCCCCTCTTCCCTCCTTACCCTCTCGCCCTCTCCCTTTTCTTGTATCCCGACCCGGCCCCGCACATCTCATCAGGGAGGCCAACGTGGCATGTTTCACACGTTTCGCAGCCTCAACTGACGTGGCAGTTGTGGAGGGCGTGATGGGGCTATTCGACGGTCGAGATGGCAAGACAGAGGTCGGCAGCACAGCAGAGATGGCCAAGATCATAGGGGCCCCTGTTGTCCTCGTTTTAGACTGTTGGTCTATGTCTAGAAGCGCGGCAGCCATGGTACATGGTTACGCGTCCTTCGACCCGTCGTTGCGATTCGCGGGGATTATTCTGAATAAGGTCGCCAGCGCAGCGCATGCCACGTGGCTGACTGAGGCGCTAGAATCAGCACACGTCAGAGTTCCCGTCCTAGGTGGCATCCCGAAATCTGCTGACGTGGAGATGCCAGAGCGCCACCTGGGATTGCACCGGCCTGGGGTGGACGCGGACGGGGTGCCAGCTCAGCACGCCGAGCGGCTGGCGACACTGATTGAAGCCCACGTGGACCTGGACAGGCTGTTGCAGCTGGCAGCTGACGTGGCAGGGGCGCCTACGATGGGGCTTGGGGGAGGGGAGGGGAGTGTGTGTGGAGGGGAGGATGTCGGAGAGGAGAGTGTGATGGGCGGAGGAGGGAGTGTGATGAGTGGGATGGGAGGAGCAGGAGGGATGGAGTGTGGTGGATCGTTGGCCAATGAGCTGCCTCCGTTGTCGATGCCGCCTGGAATGAAGCTTGCGCGCATTGGGGTGGCGAGAGACGAAGCATTTTGCTTCTACTACCATGACAACCTGTCGCTGCTGAGAGGTGAGACCTTGTATTGAGTATGAGCCAATGCCTCTCGGAATGAAGCTTGCTCGCATTGGGTTGGCGAGAGACGAAGCATTTGGCTTCTACTACCATGACAACCTGTCGCTGCTGAGAGGTGAGACCTTGTATTGAGTATGAGCCAATGCCTCTCGGAATGAAGCTTGCTCGCATTGGGTTGGCGGGAGACGAAGCCTTTTGTTTCTACTACCACGACAACCTGTCGCTTTTGAGAGGTAACTAGGGCCTTGTGTTTAAGTATGCCCCACCCACTCCCTGACTAACTGGCTATACGTGAGTCACCTTAACAGCCTTCTGTTTTACTACCAACCACGATAATTTGTCGCGTCTGAGAGGTAAGTACGGCCCTGTGTTTCTACTACCACGATAACCTGCCCCTGCACACCACCTCGACTCGGTTTGCTTTGGAGCCAGCACCCTGAGCTGCACACTACTGCGCTGGTTGCTCTGGCTTGGCTCGCATATTTCCAATCACCCTTGTGCCATTTCCTGCCCCTCTGTTCACAACGCTGTCCCGTCCCACCCCACCAGAGGCCGGAGCAGAGATTGTGTTCTTCTCTCCGCTCACCTACCCCCTTCCACACCGCCTCGACACTATGTACTTTGGCCGCTCTAGCTGCTCTAGCAGCCAGAGAGGCGGGTATCCCCAGCTGCACGTGGCTGCCGTGGCTGCTCTGGCTTCTCTGGCTGCTTGGCGTCCATATTTCCAATCACCATTGTGCCATCTCCTTCCCCTCTGTTCACATTATTGCCTTTTGTTGCCCACCCTATCAGAGGCGGGAGCAGAGATTGTGTTCTTCTCCCCGCTCACTGACCCTCTGCCGCACCGTCTCGACGCCGTGTACTTTGGCGGGGGGTATCCTGAGCTGCATGCTGCTGCTCTGGCGGCCAACACCAAGTTGGTGTATGCGCTCAGGGCGTTTGCTGCTGCTCTGGCCGCTCTGGCCTGGCTTGCATATTCCCGATTCACCCTTGTGCCATCTCCTGCCCCCCTGTTTTCAATGCTGTTTCGTCCCACCCCACCAGAGGCGGGAGCAGAGATTGTGTTTTTCTCCCCGCTCACTGACCCTCTGCCGCACCGTCTCGACGCCGTGTACTTTGGCGGGGGGTATCCTGAGCTGCATTCTGCTGCTCTGGCGGCCAACACCAAGCTGGTGTATGCGCTCAGGGCGTTTGCTGCTGCTGGCGGGGTGGTGTACGGCGAGTGTGGTGGGCTCATGTACCTGTCACGGAGCATCGAGGTGAGAGCAGGGAGGTTGGGTAGTTGTTCTGGGTTTGGAAGCTGGTGTATGCGCTCAGGGCGTTTGCTGCTGCTGGCGGGGTGGTGTACGGCGAGTGTGGTGGGCTCATGTACCTGTCACGGAGCATCGAGGTGAGAGCAGGGAGGTTGGGTAGTTGTTCTGGGTTTGGAAGCTGGTGTATGCGCTCAGGGCGTTTGCTGCTGCTGGCGGGGTTGTGTACGGCGAGTGTGGTGGGCTCATGTACTTGTCAAGGAGCATCAAGGTGAGCGTGAGGAAGGGAACTTGTAGTGCCCTGTTGCCCTTCCAAGTGGGGAATGAGTTTCCGTTGGCGGTGGGTGGTGTATGGCGAGTGTGGCAGGCTCATGTACGTCTCCAGGAGCATCGAGGTGGGAGAGGGGAGAGGGAGGTTGGTTGGATTATAGAGGATTTCATGTTTGGATCCTGGTTTCAGTGAGCGAGTTGTGTTGCACCGCTGCCCTTCCAACCAAGTTCCAACCATGTGTGACGTGTTTTCCTTTTCTCACTTGCTGCAGACGAAGGAGGGAGAGGTGCACGAGATGTGTGGGTTGCTGCCCTTCCGCACTCGCATGGTGTCTACACTCAAGCTAGCCTACTGCACGGTGAGTTGTCTGTTTGTGAGATTTGACCATTGCACTTCGCACATATGTGAGATCGTGATTAGGGGGCAGTTCTTCCTTCTCAGCGAGATCGACTTTTGAGGCGCCTCAAAATTTGACGGTGCACATTGCACTGGATTAGGGGGCAGTTCTTCCTTAGCGAGATTGTGCTGGATGCCTCTTCCTCCTTTCCCCAACACCTGTTTGTCTCGTGGGCCCCCCATCCCCCCTCTGTCACCGAGCGTGTTTTTTGAGCCTCTGTCACCGAGCGTGTTTTTTGAGAATTCTCAAAAAACCCCCTCTGTCACCTCTCTTCTCTCTTCTCCCACGTTCGCCCCCAGCCCAATTGTGTGTTGTTCCCGGCCGAGCTGGGCGAGATGAGGGGGCAGCTCTTCCACTTCAGCGAGGTCGTTTCCTTTACCCATCCTAACCCCTCTCTTTCCTCCCTTGCCTTGCCCCACCCTCTCTTGGTCTTCCCTCTTTGTTACCAGGTGCGTCCCCAGCCCAACTGTGTGCTGTTCCCAGCGGAGTTGGGCGAGATGAGGGGGCAGTTCTTCCACTTCAGCGAGGTGGTTCTGGATGACGGCTCATTCCATGGCGACCAGCTGGAGTTCGGGTAAGGAGGAGGGGGTTGAGGCAAACACACCGGGATGTCGTGTGGAGTGGAATCAGGTGAGCTGTTTCGGCATGGCGAGCTGAGAAGGCAGTTGTTCCATTCCAGCGAGGTCGTGGTGGATGACGGCTCGTTGCACGGGGACCAGCTAGAGTTTGGGTAAGGAGGGGTCTAATTTGTTGCTGTACTGTATGGATAATAGCACTATGAGGTGAACTGGTTCGGTCCAGCATGGTGAGAGGTCGTGCTGGACAACGGCTTGTGCCACGGTGGCCAGCTCGAGTTTGGGTGAGAATGGGTTTGGTTTGGTGCTGTACGGTATGTATGATAGTATGAGATGAGCTGGTTTGGCTGCAGCATGGCGAGAGGTCGTGCTGGATGACGGCTCGTGCCACGGCGACCAGCTGGAGTTTGGGTGAGTGAGAAGGGGTCTGATCCGGTGCTGTACGGTATGTATGTGGTTAGGTTCGGTGCAGCGTGGCAAGAGGTGGTGAGTGCTGGATGACGACTCATTCCACGGCGAACAGCTGGATTGAGGGAGAGAATGGCTACTCAGAAGTGCCTTATGGTCAGAGAGTATATGGTTTGGGTGCTTCTATCTTCCCTTCCCCCCTGCTCTCCTATCGCCCCTGCTCTCCTCTCCCTCCTTCCCCGTCCCTCCCCAGGTACCTTATCGAGCAGCAGACCCCCGGATCTACTGCTCGTCCAGAGGGCTACATGGCGAGGGCAGTGCTAGCGTCATTCGTGCATCTGCACTTCGCCTCCAACCCCTCCCTCCCATCCCTCCCTCCCCACCCTCCCCCCTGCCTGTCGTGGACCTCCCCAGGTACCTTATCGAGCAGCAAACTCCAGGTGCCACCTCCCGTCCAGAGGGCTACATGGTGGGGGCAGTGCTAGCGTCCTACGTGCATCTGCACTTCGCCTCCAACCCCTCCCTCGCCCACGCCTTCATAGACGCGTGCCGAACCGACCCTACCAAATCCGCAGCTGTCGCTGCTGCCTCTGCCTCAGCAGTGGCTGGAGCTGGGGCGGCAGCGGCGGCAGCAGCAGGGGCGGCAGCTGCGGCGGCGGTGGCAGATGCGTTGAATGAAGACGACAGGTTGTCGCAACGATCGGTCTCGTATAATTTGTACGCGTCCCCGGTGCACCCGAGTCAGCTGGGCTTGCATCAGCAGCAACAGCAGCAGCAGCAGCACGGGGTTTCCGGAGGTTGTGCACCCTCTTCCGTGTCTTCTGTGCAGTCTGGGAGCTCGTTTCGTAGGAGGAGTGAGAGCGGAGGGAGGTGGGATGCGAGGGGGTTTGATGCTGGTGGCGGGGTGTCGCCACCTCATTATTTGGAGACGTATGGGAGGGGAGGAGGAGGGGGAGGAGGAGGGGGCGGGAGAGGGGGGATTGGTGGGTCAGGTGGAATGTATTATGGAGGGGGGGTTTCGCCTCCTCATTATATGGAATCATATGGGCGAGGAAGAGGGGGAGGAGGAGGGGGAGGGGGAGAGGCAGGGGCAGGATATGGGGGTATTGGAGGACGAGTGTATGATGCCAGGGGGCAGTGGCATGAGGATATTATCCCCAGAGCTTTATCAGGTACTGTTCCTGGTTCTTCAGGTGCTTATTCAGGTGGTTTCTCAGGTGGCCCGTCAGGTATTTCGCCTGAGCACGACGACCCCACCGAGGCTGACCTCCAGGCTCGGCGGATGGGCGCTCGCGAGGCAGAGGATCGGTCCTCACGTTCGGAATCGTATGTGATTGGAGAGCGCGTGGGCGGCAGCGTCGTCCCATATGCCATGTTTCCGGGTGGCAGCGCCATTGGCAGCGCTGTGGCGAGATCATACGGCGGGCAATCAAATCATGCAGGATATGGATATGGGGCGGGAACGGGCGGCGGAAGTGGGGGAAGAACGGGCGGCGGAGGAGGAGCGGGGGGGCGGGGAGGAGTTGACTGGGCTAGATACGAGCTCTCACCACCCCTCCCTTACCAATCCACAGGTTACAGCAGGGAGGGGAATGGCAGTCAGGGGGTGGGAGGGCCCGGGTTTATCCCCTCTCCCATGCGGAGGTCTATTTCTGAATTGTGGGTGTCCGGGGGTGGGGGTGGTGGGCTGGATGAGTTGAGTCTGGGCGGAGTGCAAGGGGCGACTGGGCAAGGGGGAAGAGGAGGAGGGGGAGGGGGAGGCGGAGGAGGGGGAGTAAGAGGAGGAGGAGGAGTGAGAGGAGGCGGAGGAGGGGGAGAGGTTGGAGGCGGTGGGTATGGGGGGACAGGAAGGAGAGATGGAAGGGGGAAAGTCTTGGGAGGAGGGGCAGGAGGAGCAGGGGGGGGAGGGAGGAGGGGAAGGAGTGGGAGGAGGGAGAGGTGGAGCAGTAGGGTCTAGTAACAGAGGCGGTGGGGGTGGTTCAGTGGCCGGGAGATCAGGAAGTGGAGGAGGAAGTGGTGGTGGTGCTAGCTCAACCTCAGATCCCTCTGCATACCTCTCCACCGCTGCAAACCCCTCTTCAGCAGGTGCCTCTGCAACAGACGGTCGCAGCTATGCGGATTCGGGTTCTGCTTCGGATTATGATGAGATGAATGCGAGTGACTTACGAAGCTCTTCTGAGTTTGATGAGGGGCTGACGTCTAGTGGCCGGCTGTCGGATTTTGTGGGGAGCAACAGCGGGAGGAGCGTGGAGCAAATTTATGAGTCGGGAGGAGGGGGTGGTGGAGGAGGGGTGAAGGGGCCTTCTAGTGGGAAATTGGCGGATTTTGTGAGTGCAGGGGTCGGGGTTTTGGGAGAAGGAGGAGGAGGAGGGGGTGGAGGTGGAGGAGGAGGGGGAGGAGGACGGGGAGGAGGATCAGCTGGTGGGTCTCTCAAGAATTTATCAGCTGGATCAATGAGGAAGCTTGCTGCTGCTGCTGGGGCTGCTGCCCAGGCAGAGGCGACTGGGCATGCCAAAAGTGGAAATGCTGCCACAAGTGGAAGTGTTGCTAAAAATGGAAATGGTGCGAAAAGTGGGAGTGGAAGCTGGAGTGGTTCGGGCCGTGTGAGGTGGGAGGGAGAGAAGGGTGAGGAGAGAGGGCAGATGGAGAACGGGAGGTGGAGGGATGCCGGGGGGGGTGGTTCGAGGTATTTCGAAGCAAGAGATACAGTTGAGGGGTTTCAAGAGGTAGGAACGGAGGAGAGAAGGGAGGTGAGTTGGGAGGAAGAAGAGGAGGAAGAGGAAGAGGAGGATGAAGTTGGGACTGGGCAGGAAGAGAGAGAAGCGCCTAGAACAATGCGTCTGGACCCTCGCTTGGTTGAGGAGGTGAGGGAGAGAGAGATGGAGAGACAAAAGGAGAGGCAGAGGCAGGAGGGAATGGTGGGGAACGAGCAGAAAGGGCAGAATGGGGAGCGGGTGCAGCAGTTAGGGGAGGATGGGCAGACGGGGAGGTATACCCATGAGGATCAAATGCAGCAGCAGCAGCAGCAAAAGCATCTGCAGAAACAGCAGCAGCAGCAGCAGCAGCAGCAGGAGAAGCAGCATGTTCGGAAGCACTCAGATGCAAACGAAGCTTCTAGCGCTACAGATGGGAGCGGCACGAGGAATGGCAGCGGCAGCAGAAGTAATGGCAGTGGTGACGGGTTCCGTTCCCTGCCCACCCAGCTGTACCGCACTCTGCTCCGCGACACCCATCTGCACCACTCTCATCTCCATGACGCCCAGGTCCAGAGGAGCTTTACTGGGGCCTCAGCATCTGAACGTGGTGGTGGTGGTGCTGCTGCTGCTGCTGCTGCTGCTGGTGCTTCTGTTACTAGTGCCGGTAGTGGCGGTGCTTCTGGTGGTGCAGCTGGTAGCAGCATAACAGTGAGCAGAAGCGCGAGTGGGAGGCTCTATACTGAGAATGAGATGTCCTATAAAACATCTCAGAAGGTTTATATCGAGGATGAGGTTTCCAGTCATTCACGAGCAGTCATGATAGCAGGAGGGGCAGCAGGAACAGTGGCAGATAGGGCAGCAGGAGGGGCAGAAGGAGCAGGAGAAGGAGCCAGGGCAGGGGCAGGGGCAGAGGCAGTGTTAGGGGCAGGAACAGGAAGAGCAGCAGCAGCAGGGGGAATGGGGGAAGGGGCAGTGGGGAGAGGGGGAATGAGGTCCGCTGATGGGACTCCAACTAAGACTGCTAGTGCGCCACTCCTTACAGGCCTGCATGTTACAAGCACTCCTGCTGCTGCTGCTGCTGCTGCTGCTGCCGCTGGTGGTGGTGCTGGTAGCAGGGGGGGAATGGTAGAGAGCGAATTCAGTGGAAGGGTGGCGCTGTCAGCACATGGGAGTTATGGGCACATGTCTGGGCTTGCCTCTCAGGCTGCAGTGTCTGCCCATACCACTCACACCACCCATGCCACTGCCACACACCCCGGGCATTCTTCCCTGAACCCTCACACCCCATCCCATCCTCACACCCCATCCCATCCTCACTCCTCCATGCACCCCGCTCCTCCTCAGCATCCCCATCCCTCTCACTATCCGCCCCAACACCCCCCTCCCCATCATCCTCAGCATCAGCAGCAGCTGCATCATCATGACCATCATAATCAGCAACAGCAGCAGCAGTACCAGCAGCAGCAGCATTATCCTCTGTACTCTCAACCCATCCCCCCTCTCAGCACCCCCTCACCCGACCCTCCCCTCTCAGCAGCTCTTACCGGGACTCACCCCATTCCTCTTCCTACTTCTTCAGATTCACCCCAGTTCAAAACTCCTCCCGAACCTGCCTCCAAGGCAGCAGCCGAAGCTGCGGCCGAAGCTGCAGGTCGGTCTGCTCAAGCTTTCCAGGCTGCCCGTTTGGGACCAGAAGCAGAGCCTGAGAGTGACGCTTTCTTTGATTCCTGCCCGAACTTCGAGTCCCCAAAATTGAAATTTCACACGCCCCCATCTGACGTGAATGCACCTCTCCTCAATTCAGATTCCCTCACTCTCTCAGACCCTCACACTCTTCCCACTCCCCCCACACACTCTCATTCCCACACCCCCCCTGCCCCCAACGCTCACTCTGGCCTGCATTCCTTCTCAGAATCTCACAGTTTCTCTCATTTCCACACTCACTCTGACCCTCACACCACTTACCCTCACGCTCACCTTCACGTTTTCTCAGATCCCCACACTCACTTCTCCCCTTCTAAAGACTTCTCGTTTGGTACGAGAAGGAGGTTGGATCTGGGTAAAGCTAACGAGGGGGGGAGATTGGAAGAAGGGTTTGGGGGAGGGGAAAGCAGGGGAATGATAGGGGATGAGGGGCCGCAGGGGGGGATGCAGCAGAGAGAGCAGCAGCAGCGGCAGAGGCTGGGAGACGGACAGGTGCAGGGGCAGGGGCACGGGCACGGGCACGGGCACGGGCACGGGCACGGGCACGGGCAGGGGCAGGGGCAGGTGCAGGGGCAGGGGCAGGGGCAGGGGCAGAAGGAGCAGGATCAGCGGCAGTGGCAGCAGCAGCAGCCGCAGCAGCAGCCGCAGCAGCAGCCGCAGCAGCAGCCGCAGCAGCAGCCGCAGCAGCAGCCGCAGCAGCAGCCGCAGCAGCAGCCGCAGCAGCAGCCGCAGCAGCAGCCGCAGCAGCAGCTGCAGCAGCAGCCGCAGCAGCAGCCGCAGCAGCAGCCGCAGCAGCAGCCGCAGCAGCAGCCGCAGCAGCAGCCGCAGCAGCAGCCGCAGCAGCAGCCGCAGCAGCAGCCACAGCAGCAACTGCAGCAACAGCAACTGCGGCAACAGCAGGCGCAGATGCAGGAAACGGGGCAAGGGGACAAAGTAGGGAGCTTGATTACTGCAGGACAAGCCAGTCTGGCTGTGGCAGATACGGTGGAGGGTTGGATGCGGTGTAAGGGGGTGGAAACGGGTGCTGGTGTGACAGTAGAGAGTTACGGGGTGACTGCAGCAGGGTTGAGAATGGCAGGCGGAATGGGGGGTGTATTTTCAGGTGGAATGGCAGCAGAGGGACGGCAGCTGGGAGGAAAGAGCAGGAAGCCTCGTGTGGTATCACTGTCACCTTCAGCAACTGATATCATCGTGGCACTCAGTAAGCGTGTGGTGCGGTGCAGTGTGGTGCAGGGTTGTGGGGTGGGGTGTGGTGTGGTGTTGATTGAATTTCAGATGAAAGCCTCGTGTTGTGTCACTGTCACCTTCAGCAACTGATATCATCGTGGCACTCAGTAAGTGTTGCGGTGCGGTGCAGTGTGGTCTGGTGTGGTGCTCACTGACATTTATCATCAGTTGCCGTGCCCCACAATCTCGGCTTTGGCAGGGTGCCCTGCTTCTCAACCGCCACAACCCTCCCTCATTTGCTTTTGAGATGTCTCAAAACCTGGCAGGCTACCGTGCCCCTTAATTGCCACAACCCTTACCTCATTTGGTCCCTTGGAGTTTTTGAGACGTCTCAAAACTTGGCAGGCTACCCTGCCCCTCAACAGCCACAACACAACCCTTCCCTCATTTTACCCTCACCCACACCCTGCCCCTCTACCGCCACGACCCTTCCCTCATTTTACCCTCACCCACACCCTGCCCCTCTACCGCCACGACCCTTCCCTCATTTGCTCCCTTCGGATTTTTTGAGACGTCTCAAAACTTGGCCGACTGCTCTGTCCCTCAGCCACAACACAACCCTTCCCTCATGTGCCCCCTTCACCCACACCCGAATCTTACCCTGCTTTTGAGTCAACTGAAGTCAACTTGAAAATCACACCCCCTTCTGTTGCTGCTTTTCAGGAGCAACAGACCAGCTGATTGGCTTGTCAAATTTTCAGACATCTCAATTCTAATCTAATCCCTTCATTCACACTCGTTATGTTCCTGCTTTTCAGGAGCAGCGGACCAGCTGATTGGCGTGTCGGATCAGTGCCGCCCATCCAGCTCCCTCCCACACCCATGCCACGTGGTATGCTGACATCAGCCTGTTTTATGCTGTCATCTTATCTAACGTATGGCCATGCCACATGTCATCATCCCATATTGCCATGCCACGTGTCATCATCCCATACTGCCATGCCATATGTCATCATCATCATCCCGTACAGCTATGCTATGTATACACATGCTGTGCGTCTGTTGACATTTATTTTGTGATGTCAGGACACACGCACAGATGTGGTCCGTCGCTTATGATAATTCTCAAAAGCGACTCAGGTTTCGAGAATTTTCAAAAGCGACTCACATTGTTTTGCGATGTCATGATGCAGATACTGATGTGTTCCGTCTCTGTATGAGTCGCCTGTTTTCGAGCCAACTCATGAATGAGTTACCTCAGAACATAATATTCGATTCCGCTTCCTTCTGTCCCTCTCCTCGTTGCCCGGCTCCTCCTGTCGCTCCCCCCCGTCCCAACTGTGTGTTGCAATCAGGTGCTTCGCTGCCCTGCTGCCAGCAAGCCGTCTTCAAAGGTGAGTTTTGCTCCCGTTTCCCTCATCCCAATTGTATAGTTGCGATCAGGTGCTTCACTGCCCTGCAGTCAGCTAGCTGTGTTTAAAGTGATTGACTTTTGAGTCGAAACACCTGCATGGCAGGTGTTTAAAGAGATTGACTTTTGAGTCGACTCAAAAGTCATCTTCCAGCCAGGTGCTTCACTGTCCTGCAGTCCGCTAGCTGTGTTTCCAAAGTGAGTTTTCCTCCCTTCGCATGCTCCTTGTGTGGTCGTTTCAACTTGTGGGATCTTCTGTCTCTACTAGGCATTAAGGTGTTATCTCCCACCCTCCCTCCCACCCTCCCACCCTCCCTCCCACCCTCCCTCCCACCCTCCCTCCCACCCTCCCGCCCTCCCTTCCTCCCTCCCTCCCACCCTCCCTCCCTCCCTCCCTCCCTCCCTCCCTCCCTCCCTCCCTCCCTCCCTCCCTCCCTCCCTCCCTCCCTCCCTCCCTCCCTCCCTCCCTCCCTCCCTCCCTCCCTCCCTCCCTCCCTCCCTCCCTCCCTCCCTCCTCCCACCGTCGCTCCTTTTTTGTTCAGGTTCAAGCCCCTTCTTGTGTGCTGGATTCGGAGTGGTTGAGAGCGGTGCAGCCAGATGTGGTGCTTTTAGGGGGATCCACTGCCTGCCTGCGCTGCGACCTGCACTGGCAGGATGGAAACACACTGCCCACCGCTGCTGCTGCAGCTGCTGCTTCTGCTACTGCGGCTGCAGCTCCTGATTCTGCTAGTGATTCTGCTAGTGCTGCTGGTGTTTCTGGTGCTGCTGTGGCTGCTAGGGCTGCTGCTGCTGGTGGTGGTGCTGCCGGTGGTGCTGCCGCTGGTGCTGCTGGCTCTGGAGTGTCAGGAGTGGCAAATCAGGGAAGGCATTGTGACAGCCGTACCTTGGCTGCAGAGGTTCGGAGGAGCCTCGGTGAATCAGGCTCGGGAGAAGGCGGCGGTGCATCAATCGTTTCTCTTCGTCCTGCCACAGTGAGTTCCCAACTCGTAGGGCAAGTTGTCAATATAGTGTGAGCCTTTTGGGATAAGCCTTGAGTAATCAGGCTCGGGAGAAGCGGCGCATCAATTGTTTCTCTCCGTCCTGCCACAGTGATTCTCCCAACTCGTAGGGGCCCTGGTCAATTTGAGGCGCCTCAAAATCCGCGTGCATTTAAGTGCATTTTGAGGCGCCTCAAAATGCACTTAAATCCACAGTGATTCTCCCAACTGGTAGGGGCCCTGGTCAATATAATGTGAGACTTCTGGTACAAGTTTTGAGAATCTAGGCTCGGGAGAAGGCGGTGCATCAATCGTTTCTCTCTGTCTCTCCATGGTGAGCTCTCAACTTGTAAGGCAACGTGGTTGGTTGGTGATACTGTTGAGTTGACTCAAACGGTCACCGGAAGGGGATGACGCATCAGTCGTTACTCTCCGTCCAGCCACAGCCCTGTGGTGACTGTGGGGGTCACTTTTTTTAAATTCTAAAAAAAGGCTCCAACATGGGAGAGGGTGGCACAGCAGTCGTTACTCGCTGTCCTGCCACAGCCCTGTGGTCACTGTGGGGGTAGCCCTGGGTCGGCCACCCAGCCAATGCCATCCCTTTCGTAATCCTCTCTGTATTCTCCTATCCCCCTGTCCACATCTCCCCATCCCACCAGCTCTCCCAGGTGCTAGAGTCGGTGGTCACTGTGGGGGCAGCTCTGGGTCTGCACCAGCCAGCTAGCTCCATCCCGTTTATAAGCCTCTCTGATTTCCCGTACCGGCCTCTCCTCTCCTCCCCATACCACCAGCTCGCCCAGGTGCTTGAATCGGTGGTCACAGTGGGGGCGGCTCTGGGTCTGCAGCAGCCAGCCCAGGCCCTCTCCTCCCACCTCCACCTGCGCCTGCGCTCCCTTGCTGCTGCCCTCGCCACCGCTCCCCGCCCCCGGGTCACCTCCCTAGAATCCATCTCTCCTCTCGTTATGGCTGGGCACTGGCTGCCCGAGATGAAAGTTTTGGCCGGGGCAGATGATGGTGGGCTGCAGGAGCCGGGCAGCCCGGTGCGGAAAGTATTGTGGGAGAGCATTACGGCGTTTGGGCCTCAGGTGCTGTTTCTGACGCCGTGTGCTGCTGATGTGACGACAGCTCTTGCTCAGGTGAGGGTGGGGGGGTTGAAGGGCTACGGATAAGGGGTGGGGTAGGGTTGAGGTAAGGGAGGGGGGAAATGGGGGGGGGGAGAGTGAGAGTTACAGCGTTTGGGCCTCAGGTGCTGTTTCTGACGCCGTGTGCTGCTGATGTGAAGACAGCTCTCGCTCAGGTGAGCAAGGAGGGAGCAGTGTTGTTGCTCGGCAAGGGGTGGGATAGCGGTGGAGTAAGGCATGAGTGTGGGTGGAAAGGGAGAGCTATGGCGATTGGGCCCCAGGTGCTGTTTCTGACGCCGTGTGCTGCTGTTGTGGAGACTCACTCGCTCACGTAAGGTTGGATGTAGTGAGGGGTGATGTGTGGGGGTGGGGGGGGGTAAGGGGCTAGATGTGAAGGGTGGAGGGTTCTGGTAGTTGTTTCGAAAGATCACATGCCTGAGTTGTGACGGAAAGGTCCCATCTCGCTTTTGTAAGATTCGTTATTCGCATGGCCGTCCCTGCCTTCTACCCCATGCCGTGTTCTTTTTCACAGGTTGAGGCGCTTGCTCGCCTGCCCGGCTTTTGGTCGCTGCCCGCAACTGAATCCGGGCAGGTTTATATTATTGAGTCATGTCTCTTCCTCAACGCAGGCCCGCGATTGGTCGATGGTGTTGAGTTGCTAGCCAGGATTATTCATCCTGACCGAGTAGCAGTGCCGTTGCCGCCTGGATGCTTCGTCTTGAAGCTGGAACTCAGTAGAGAGAAACACTACCGAGCAGGGGACGTTCATAAACATTTTAGGCCGCTTCTATAGATTTAGGCAGGCTTGTTTTGCAAGATGGTGTAGCTATTGTGAACGTAGCCAAGTAGATCATGTAGGTTCTGAGTAGCAACCATTGTCAAACTCTCAGTAAGTGGCGACAGTGGAATGAGTTGCATTGGATGGATTGGGGTACATATTCCTACCCTCTATCTGTTTGCACCCCCTACTGCACTGTTGGAAACAATCGGTTCTAAGCGCCTCTGTCGTGTCGAAACACTAAGGCACAAGCGAAGCAGAGCATATCGAGGCACCAGGGAGTCAACCCGCGGAGGTTGAAGTAACCGCTGGAGGTTACGGGAAAGTCAAAGGTCAGCGACCTTTGACTTGACAAACACAGCGCGACAGCAAGGACACACAACTGACTCGACATTGAGCAGTTGCCCGAGTCGCACTGTATCAAGCCGCAACAGTAAAACAGTTGAATTATATCTCTTCGTATTCCTTGTACTCTTATATAAACCTTTGTACTTGCTTGTTTCAATTAACTTACTTTGCCCTCACATACTATCGCAAGGTGGTTCATAATCTCTTTATTAACGCTTCCGCTACTACATCACTCTACCCAGAGTTTAACCCGACCAAAGATCCTAAGGGGCATCTCAGCCCAACATGCACAACCCAGTAATGGCTAGAATACTTGACACACCCCCATAGCCTAAGTGGGGAGTGCAGAGTAACAACAAACAACCTAAGGTCACAAGACCGGTCACCAACAAAAGACAAAACAAAGCTCAGGTTGGATCACAACGTCACCACACAGTCTGAGCGCAAACAGCGGCCACAAGGCCAGTTCACGAATGTATATGCAAATATATATAGTACAAGCAAAGACAAGAGACAAGCACTCACTACTGCAGTCTACTCGACCCAGTCTCAACGAGGCCTAAGTGCAAACAGAACCGGCGGTGGTCACAAGGCTGAAGAGCCTTCGTGAAGATGTCTGCGGTGTTGGTCTCGGAGGCCACGAAGTCCAGACGAGCCTGCCCGTGACTCTGCGACTCTCGAAGGAGGAAGTACCTGACGTCGATGTGCTTCACTCTGCTCTCCAGTCGAGGCTCACGACACAGGAGAATCATCGCCTTGTTGTCAGCAAACAAGGTCGGTGCAGAGCTCAGCCGCTCACCAAGGTCAGTGAGCAAAAAGGTCAACCAGCGTAGCTCCTGAGCAGCAAGGGCTCCAGCGTAGATCTCGGCCTCTGCGGTAGAAGTCGCAACAAAGGAGGACCGAGTAGACCTCCACGAAACAGCTCCAGAACCCAGGCTGAAACAGTAACCCTGCGTAGACCTCTGAGTCTCAACGTCGTTGGCGTAGGAGGAGTCGCAGTGGCCGGTGAGTACAACTGGCTGTGTCCCTCCAAGTACAAGCCCCATGTCTGATGTCGCGCCGAGGTACTTCGCCACCCTCTTAGCCACCGCCCAGTGAACAAGACGGTGTCTCCCAATCGCAACAAAACAAGAAAGGACGCTAAGAGGGAAGGCGAGGTCCGGGTGAGTGCACGTCATCAGGTACATGAGGCAGCCCACCAGCTCTGCGTAGGGACCACTTGGCTCGAACGGCTCGTCAGGAAAAGGCCCAGTGAGTCTGTGGTCTACAGCAAGAGGGGTGGGTGTAGGAGAAGAGTCCTGAAGCCCGAACCGCTGAAGGACCTGCTGCACCATGTGTGACAGAGTCAGAGTGATGGTGCGAGCGGCTCTGTCCTTGGAGATCTGCAGGCCAAGGTAGCGGCGCAGTTCCCCAAGGTCAGTGCAGGTGTGTCTCTTCTGCAGTTCGGACTTCACCTCCGCCAGTGCAACTGTGTCGGCTGTGGCAAAAACCAAGTCGTCAAGGTAGACCAGAACGAAGAAAGGTGTGCCCCCACGACGAACAAACAGCGACGGGTCAGCGGAAGACGGCTCAAACCCGAGGTCGGAGAGAGTAGAGCGGAGAGTGTCGTGCCACTCACGGGGTGCCTGGCGGAGACCGTAGACCGGTCGTCTGAGGCTCCACTGGGTCCCAGGCGGGAAAGTGCCAGTGAAGCCCGAAGGACGACGCAGCCAGATCTCCTCGTGTAGGCGGCCCTGGAGGAAGGCAGTGGAGAAGTCAAGAGAGTGTAGCTTGTAGTCTCTCTGCGCGCTACGTGCAGTAACTCTCGAAGAGTGGTCATCTTCGGGGTGAGCGCGAAGGTCTGAAAGAAGTCAACTCCCTCACGCTGACTAAACCCTCTAGCCACGTAGCGTGCTTTGAAGACTGGAGGAGATCCCGGCGGCCGCTTCACCTTGAAGATCCACATGCCGTCAACGATGTTCGCCCCTGGGGGGGGAACCTTGTCAACGTAAGTGCCTGTGGACCTGTAGGAGGCCATCTCTGCGTCTATGGCAGCTCTCCACTGAGAGGCCCAAGGCCCTGACACAGCCTCAGCGTCAGTGCGAGGAGTAGGTATGTCAAGAGCGTCGGGGTCTCCCTCAGGAGCGAGGAGCATGGCACAGAGATGAGGCGAAGAAGTTGCCAGGAACTCTAGCTCAAACTGTCTGTCCTCTAGGACGTCACAGCCAAGGGCAGACTCACCCCCGGCGGACAGAGGACGGACAGGAGGAGCGGCGACAACACGAGTGGCGTAGTCAAGGCGACGCGTAGCAGTAAAGTCAGTGACAGCGGCAGTGAGGACCACGACGGAGGAAGGAGAGGCACGAGGGTCTGTAACAAGAGAGACGAGAACACGAAAGAGAGTGGGGCGGTACGTGCGGTAGTGGTCAGTGACCGGAGTGGGCATGGAGGCAGTAAGGGACGACTCAGGCGGACGGGGAAGAACAGACTGAGGAGAACGAGGAGGACTAGGACGAAACAACACGGTACGGAGGTCGGTGACAGGTGACGAGGGACGAGAACGAGGAGAACGAGGCGCCCAAGTGTGGGCGAGAGGAGAGGGAGACGGAGGAGACTGAGAACGAGGGAACACAGCCGGAGCCGATTCCAGAGGAGGAAACGTAGGACCGAACACAGGAGGAGAGGAGGGGAGACCAAGGGTCCGAAGGCCAGTAACAGGGGGCTCCGGATGCTGCGGCTGCTGGAACTGTTGCTGCTGCTGCTGCGGCGGCGGGCCCTGCTGCTGCTGCTGCTCCCACTGCAACTCCAACCTCTCACGCTCCACCCGCTGCTGAACCTCCAACCTTTCACTCTCCACACGCTGCTGCTCCTCGCGCGCAAGACGAAGACGGGCCTGGTCTCGAGTTGGGTAGGGGTGAGGAGGAGGAGTGGTGTCAGGAGACGACGAAGAAGAACCGGCTCCAACCTCGACAGGACCCGGCTATGCACCCCCAGAGCGAGTACCCCCTGCAGCAGCACGACCAGTACCTTTAGGAGGTGTACCCGCACCCCCCAGTCGTGGTGCCTCCACTGGCACCAGCACCAGCCCCAGAATCTCCAACTCCAGAAACACCACCAGCTCCAGCACCACCACCAGCTCCAGTACCCTCGGAACGGGCAGCCGCGGCAGGTGCACGCTCAGCGCCAACGCCAACACCCCCAGAACTGGCTACTCTTGTAGGTGCACGAACAGCTCCAACGCCAGCACCCCCAGAACAAGCACCGCCAGAGCCCTCACCTCGAGCACCCAACACCCTTAGAGTCCGCAGTGGCCGGTAGAGGAAGCGCTGGCGGCTGCTCCGGAGGCTGTGAGGACGACTGTGGGGAAGGAGGAGAGACCTGGGGGGGTACGAGTTAGGGGGAGTACCGTGGGACACACCAGACGGAGCGGGAACAGGGGGGGTACCGGAGGAGCAGGGGCGGGAGGAGGAAGAGCTGGAGCCAGAAAGAGGGGAGGGGGGGGAACCGGGAGACATTGACAGGGGTACCTGACGTAGTAGAGGACGGACTCGTCGAAACGGATGTCACGAGAGTCAAAGAACCGGTGGGAGGGAGGGTGGTAAAAGGTGAAGTAAGAGGAGCCCTCTGGGAAACCAAGGAAGACACAGGGGACGGCGCGAGGTGAGATCTTGTCCGCAGAGGTGTCGCGGACAAGAGCGAAGCAGCCCCAGACACTAAACCTCGACGCAACACCAGGGGACCCTGTCCAAAGACTGGTCGGTGAAGCCCCTGGCCGAGAGACGCGAGGCCAGAGGTTCAGCTGGTGAGCGGCGTACCGAGCCATGTAGGGCCACAAAAAATGGGGCGTGCGGGCGTGGATCATGGAGGTGCGGGCAATCTCCATGACCGGGCCTAAGCGACGCTCAGCAACCCCATTCTGCTGTGGAGAGTCTGGAACAGTCCAGGACTGGGTGATGCTCTGCTCAGCACAGAATCTGGCGAGAATGCCGGAGCGAAACTCACCCCCACGGTCGGAGTGGAGACAACTGACAACGACCTCGAGTACCCTCGGTGGCGAGCAGCCATCGGATCAGCGTAGAAGTCACGTCGGACTTCTTTGCCAAAGGGAACACGGTGGTGTACCGAGAGTAATCGTCAACGACCAACAGAAGGAAACTCTCACGCCCAGGGCCAAGGCGAGGAGCGGGGCCCCAGATGTCTAAGTGTAGTGTTTGGAAGGGCTCGGTGGCC